ATGGCTTGGCAAGAGTGCATGGCTTGGCAAGAGTGCATGGCTTGGCAAGAGTGCATGGCTTGGCAAAGGGCGTGGCTTGGCAGCAGTGCAGTGCTAGGGCAGCAGTGCGTAGCTGGCAGCAGTGCCTAGCTTGGCAGCAGTACCAAGCAGTGCATGGCTTGGTAGCAGTGCATGGCTTGGCAGCAGTGCATGGCTTGGCAGCAGTGTGTGGCTTGGCAGCCGTGCGTGGCTGGGCAGCAGTGTGTAGCTGGGCAGCAGAGCGGGGCTTGGCAGCAGTGCCTAGCTAGGCAGCAGTGCCTAGCTAGGCAGCAGTGCCTAGCTTGGCAGCAGTGCCTAGCTTGGCAGCAGTGCGTGGCTTGGCAGCAGTGTGTGGCTTGACAGCAGTTCGTGGCTTGGCAGCAGTGCGTGGCTTGGCAGCAGTGCCTAGCTTGGCAGCAGTGCCTAGCTTGGCAGCAGTGCCTAGCTTGGCAGCAGTGCCTAGCTTGGCAGCAGTGCCTAGCTTGGCAGCAGTGCCTAGCTTGGCAGCAATGCCTAGCTTGGCAGCAGTGCCTAGCTTGGCAGCAGTGCGTGGCTTGGCAGCGGTGTGTGGCTTGGCAGCAGTGCGTGGCTTGGCAGCAGTGCGTGGCTTGGCAGCAGTGCGTGGCTTGGCGCAGTGCGTGGCTTGGCAGCGGTGCGTGGCTTGGCAGTGGTGCGTGGCTTGGCGGCAGTGCGTGGCTTGGCAGCAGTGCGTGGCTTGGCAGCAGTGCGTGGCTTGGCAGCGGTGCGTGGCTTGGCAGCAGTGCGTGGCTTGGTAGCAGTGCGTGGCTTGGCAGCGGAGCGGGGCTTGGCAGCAGTGCGTGGCTTGGTAGCAGTGCGTAGCTTGGCAGCAGAGCGAGGCTTGGCAGCAGTGCCTAGCTAGGCAGCAATGCCTAGCTTGGCAGCAGCGCCTAGCTTGGCAGCAGTGCGTGGCTTGGCAGCGGTGCGTGGCTTGGCAGCAGTGAATGGCCGTGCAGGTGCAGTGCGTGGCTTGGCAGCAGTGCGTGGCTTGGCAGCAGTGCGTGGCTTGGCAGCAGTGCGTGGCTTGGCGGAAGTGCGTGGCTTGGCAGCGGTGCGTGGCTTGGCAGCAGTGCGTGGCTTGGCAGCGTGCGTGGCTTGGCAGCAGTGCGTGGCTTGGCAGCAGTGCGTGGCTTGGCAGCAGTGCGTGGCTTGGCAGCAGTGCGTGGCTTGGCAGCGGTGCGTGGCTTGGCAGCAGTGCGTGGCTTGGCAGCAGTGCGTGGCTTGGCAGCAGTGCGTGGCTTGGCAGTGGTGCGTGGCTTGGCAGCAGTGCGTGGCTTGGCAGCAGTGGGTGGCTTGGCAGCTGTGCGTGGCTTGGTAGCAGTGCGTAGCTTGGCAGCAGAGCGGGGCTTGGCAGCAGTGCCTAGCTAGGCAGCAGTGCCTAGCTTGGCAGCAGTGCCTAGCTAGGCAGCAGTGCCTAGCTAGGCAGCAGTGCATGGCATGGCAGCCGTGCATCTCGCTCAACCCTAAACTCTCCCATCTCATCATGTCCTAAGCTCCCCTCCCCATCTGTGTCCCGTCAACCCCCAACCCCCTCCTATTCCCTCCCCATCCCCCTTCCTCGCTCCATATACCCCCCCCCCATCCCCCCCCCCCCCCCCCCCCCCCCCCCCCCCCCCCCCCCCCCCCCCCCCCCCCCTCTACAAACCGTGATGCTGCAGGCCAAGTGCTACAACCTTGTAACGCGCATGTTCTGGCTCTGTGCTGCTGCAAAAATCCAGTTTTACCCCACGGTTAAAGAGATTCTGCGTTCATTCGGCGAGGACTTTGCGGCACACATCATCGAGTGCCTGAACCTGCTGTGGACAATGAACGACTCGACCACACGAGGCGTCTTCCACGACCAGATCTCCAACACACGTAGCACGATCGGGGGGATCTTGCGCAAGATCGTGTTGACCGCGCTGGGGCTGCATCGGAACCAAAAGTACGCCAGCAGCCTGCCGAGGGAGCTCACCTGCCCAACCGCCTGGTACACCGATGAACAGCTCGTCCGAGACAACACGGATGGTCAGTCCTTACTTTCATGCCATTCTCACCGTTTTTGTCATGCCATGGATCACATGCGCTGCCCCACACGCTAGCCGACCACTCCAACACCCACCCCCCACCCCTCGAAACCCTCATGTCCTACTCCAAATTTCCGCCCACCTCCCCTCTGCTCCCCCCACGCCCTCGAATCCTGTCCCCCATCGTTGCCCTCTGCAGAGGTGTGGGGTCTGATCTGGCACGTCGATAAGCCGCGGATGTGGCCGTTCTCGACCCTGATCTTTGCTGTGGGGTTTCGCAGGGGATTCAAGCGGCGCCACGTCCAAATGAGCTGCTATAAGACCCGCCAGATCGCCTGGGGGCTGTACGCGGTGAGTGCACACTCGCCCTATCCCTAGCAATATCGCACGCCCAACAACCCTTCCATGTCTCCATCCTCCATAAACTCATCCCCCCCCTTCCTCCCCCTTCACCCCCCCATCGTCATCTCCCCCCACAACCCTCGTTTGCCTATCTCTCCTGTCCTTTGTCGCCCCCCGAAATTCACGGCCACAGTTGGAGGCCACCACTGCACAACTACAAAACCGCCGAGGGAAAGCTGAGCCAAGACAGTGAAGACAATCGCCGGGGGTACGAGGCCATGGTGTTGCACTGCCGCAGGTGGGTGGAGCACGCCGTGGACAACCTTGGTGTGCCGTACGACGACGAGGCCGAGGTTTTCGAGTTTGGCAATGGGGTGCGCATTGATGCGTCCGACTACCCCGAGCTCGTGGCACGCACCCTCGCCCGCATGAGGACGGGCGGCGCCCTTGCATGAGTGGCGGAGGCAGGTGGTGAGGCGTGGTGGAGGTGGGGCAGCTGGAGCAGAACGAGGGGGGGGGGAGAAGCCAACAATGGCAGGCATGCGTGGCGGCAGCAGAATAGACTTGGGCAGCAGAAGCGGTGGAGGCCAGGGCAGCAGCGGCGGCAAAGGCCAGGGCAGCAGCGGCGGCAGAGGCATGGGCAGCAGCGGCGGCAAAGGCCAGGGCAGCAGCGGCGGCAGAGGCATGGGCAGCAACGGCGGCAGAGGCATGGGCAGCAGCGGCGGCAGAGGCATGGGCAGCAGCGGCGGCAGAGGCATGGGCAGCAACGGCGGCAGAGGCATGGGCAGCAGCGGCGGCAGAGGCATGGGCAGCAGCGGCGGCAGAGGCATGGGCAGCAGCGGCGGCAGAGGCATGGGCAGCGGCGGCGGCAGAGGCATGGGCAGCAGCGGCGGCAGAGGCATGGGCAGCAGCGGCGGCAGAGGCATGGGCAGCAGCTGCGAGGCATGGGCAGCAGCAGCGGCAGAGGCATGGGCAGCAGCAACGACAGGCATGGGCAGCAGCAGCGGCAGAGGCATGGGCAGCAGCAGCATGAGAGTCATGGGCAGCAGCAGCATGAGAGTCATGGGCAGCAGCAGCATGAGAGTCATGGGCAGCAGCAGCATGAGAGTCATGGGCAGCAGCAGCATGAGAGTCATGGGCAGCAGCAGCATGAGAGTCATGGGGAGCAGCAGCATGAGAGTCATGGGCAGCAGCAGCATGAGAGTCATGGGCAGCAGCAGCATGAGAGTAATGGGCAGCAGTAGCATGAGAGTAATGGGCAGCAGCAGCATGAGAGTAATGGGCAGCAGCAGCATGAGAGTAATGGGCAGCATGATAGTCATGGGCAGCAGTAGCATGGGGGAGCAGAAGGGGCTATGGCAAGGGATAAAGGGAGGATGAATGGAGGCACGGAATGGCCCAGGGATGGAAGCACATGCATGAGGATTGGACAAGTGCTGGAGTGAGGAGCATACTAAGGGATGATGGGTGGAAGCAGATGGTAGTGGCAGATGCATGGGAAAAGGGGCGCAGCAGAGGCATGGGTAGAGGGGAGCCTGAAAAATCATGGGAAGAGGAGCAGGGAAAACAAGGGAGGACGGGAGCAGGAGGGGCAGAAGGATGTAGCAAATGTGAGGGATGGATAATGTGGCATGTGTAGAGACGCCAGGAGGCAGCTAGGGCGGCAGGAGGTGCTAGGGCAGCATGAGGCAGCTAGGGCAGCATGAGGCAGTTGGGGCAGCATGAGACAGCTAGGGCAGCATGAGGCAGCTAGGTCAGCTTGAGACAGCTAGCAAGGGGAGGGAAGGGGGGGAAGCAGCAAGAGGAAGGTCGGGCAGGGGGGAGGGAGCTAGGGCAGCAGAAGCAGCTGGTGGCAGCATAAGCGCTAGGGCAGTAGTCGCAGCTGGGACAGCAGAAGCAGCAGGACAGCAAAAGTGGCTGGGGCAGGAGAAGCAGCTAGATTAGAAGTATATAGGGGCAGGAAAAATCAGCAAGGGCATCTAATATGTGACACCAGGCAATATTAGTGGTGGTAGTAGCAGGATTGGTGAAGGTGGCTGTATAGGTGTTTTAGGTGTGATTATGTAGGATTGTAACCAGGTTTTTTTAGTGCATTTATTAACAATTTAATATTCACATTTCGTGAATTATATCATTGTAGCCAACAGCTAACTACATGATACCGACCTAAACCGGCATTTACTGTTGCACATTGCCACGTCAGCTGCCAAATGTCGGTGGTCTCAATTAGGTGGCAACGAAGAAAGAGTGTTTCTAGTGTTTGAGTTATTTCAATTAAATAATGAACTAATCACACTCGAAACAGTCACGCGCAACACTCTTTGGCGTCACACATTTTTCAGCCCGAAACAGTTACGAACCTTGGCGGAATACGCGTCGCGATTTTTGGCCCGAAGCTCGACACAGCCCCATGCGGGATGCAGTTGCCTCACTATTCCGAAAACAGCCCGAAACTTGGAATGCTTTTCCGCCAAGTTTCGGCCACTTCGGCTGACCTCAGCCCAAATTTCGGCGAGGTTAGGTGGGGATGTTTTGTGATGTCCTCTCGTCGCCATCCATTCCCCCCTCTTCTCGCCGCACGTTCCCCCTCTCCTTGCTGCGCGTCCCCCAGATCTCCTCGTTATCCATAGCCCAATCCCCTCGCGGGAGTGTGTCGTGGCCTGTTTTTTTTTATCTCCAACTATATACCTCCACTAGAGTCGCGGGGCCTAATGGCGGGTCTTACAGCAGTTTCGGTACGCAAACTTCGGCGGGCACTATGTCTTGTACGACGATCTTAACTCGTCCCACTGTGCACGCCGGTATTGCGCCCGAGGTATCATTTTCGAAAGGATAAAAAACCTTTCCCCTGTAGTGATGGGACTTGGTCGTCGATGGGCGGGCAGTTTTCTTTTTTTTTAACCTATGCTGTGGCAGCTATGGCTACCTAAGCTTGTCTGACTATGAGATAATCTCCTCCTCTGAATCGTGAAGCACACCCATGGAGCTCTTGAACGACGGGTTCCAGGGTGGTAGTCGCACTCGACAAATTTTGGTTCAGTTGTGCGACTTTACTCTTGTCGCTGTTCCGCTGGAGTCGTGGACAAGCTTGGTGCGTCGTGGCCCTCTCGCTATGTTCAAACGGTCGCAACACACTATTTTTCACTTCGTTTGGTGTGTAGTGCTCCAGTCTGGGTCATTTATTATGACCCCCCCAAAACTCAGTTTTCAAGAGCGCTAAGGGTGTGGTTTTCTAGCCTGTGGTTTTGAATGAAACATAAGAATGGTATAAGGAATATCGATGGTGTATATCATAGTCCAACAATATACATGCAATGGTCTGCCGAGTTTTCTTTTAACATCGTTTCACCTTCCTCATGATTTTTATCACTAACGTGCAATAACTACTAAGTGTGCAACTTTCAAGTTTTATATTATAAAAGAATGGTTGTCGCTCAATCAGAAACTAAAACAAAACCCTGGGAATGTTTTTTGTGTTTTAATGCCCGCGGCTATAACAGCAGACCCTGATGCCACTTGAATTTTGAGGTGCTGAATATCGGTGAAGTGTAGAAACATCCAAACTATGTTTCCGAACAAGAGCATTCCATTTCGTGCTTGGGAACAAAACGAAAAACAGCCAAAGCCTTTGATTGGTCCAGACCGAAAACGAACAACCATGCTGTGCGTTACGACACAGTGATTTTTGCGCAAAACGCAAATGGCAATGTGCGGATCGCTCGCACCCATGCGACGTGCACTCGACGATTATAGGGGAGGGGAGAGCGTTGAGGGAAAAGGGGCGCAAAGCGACCGAGGAAAACAAGTGCTTTCCAGGTTTGCAATTCCTGATTCAAGCGCCCCCAGCAAATCGACGAGCCGAAACCCGCACGACTAGCGCCATTCTGCTACCATAGCACAAGCACACAGAATCAACTTCGACATGACAGCTTAGAGCAGTAACACGTGCCACAATTACAGTCAGGGGGACCAGCCATGACAACTAGGGGAGACAATAGCGAGGTGCGTGGACAGACCTACGCGGGAGTGTATGCAAGCCACTATACCCGATTAGCTGCCAAAAGCAAGCCTCCAAATGCAGCCGCCCTAAGACACCGGCCCAGGCCCACGCGACTCCCAACCATCAACGTACGAGAGTCGCATACGCGCCATTATTGGGACGGCAGCCTTGGCGAAACGGCACACGTCATGTGTGAGCTAAGGATGCCGTGGCCCAGTTGCAAACGCGCCGTAAGCATCCTCAGCTCATCACGAGCGTGTCAGCTGAGGATGCCATGGCATGCACGTACTGAATCCCCCTCTGAGCCGCGCCGTATACAGTATGCGATGCACGTCGAGAGACAGACAAGAAGGGGCATCACGCTCATGCGCAAACCTCAGTGCACGGACCTCCCAGCATCTGAATCCGCCACCAAAACCAACAATGCCGTCATTGTGACGCGCTCGGTAGGGCCATACGTCGTGCGGCGCTCACACTCCCATCTCCGACTCCCTTGCTGTGTCCCTACAACCCAATGCAGGAGATAAGGATCACTTCCAGCTTCGCGCTATCGACGTCAAGCAGGGGGGAGGGCGGGAGGAGACGGCCACCTTTAATCGTCGTGCGTCAAGCAACACCTGGAAGTCTGGTATGCGGTGTATGTTAAGGCCAAGAAACTGTGTGACAGTAGGTATGATGGTGATCTATAGATGTTGTTGAAGTGTTTGTTCGAAGGAAGAAGCGAGGGAATCAGTGGTGCTCATGTAGAGTTAGTCGTCGACATAACCGACGAGTAGGATGTAGTCAAGATTGTCGGTAAGTAAATACATTCCTTGGTCGTGCGGGAGTCAACGAAACCCGGCAGTTAGTAACTGACTGTGTAGATACTGCTGCCATGGGCGTGGGGCCTGTTTAATGCTGTAGAGAGACTTTCTGAGATGGCAGACGCTGGGAGGGTTAGTTTCGTAAGAATGCGGGTACTCAACCAAAATGAATGCATCGACAGCTGCATATAGAAATGCATTGGCGACGTCGATTTGGCGAAGTCTGAAGATCCGACAGGCTGCGACGCAGAGCAGGATGCGGACACTAGTATGTCTGCCAATGGGAGCAAAGGTTAGCTCGTAGTCGAGTCCAAAAGTCTGCTCGAAGCTGCGGACAACCCATCACGCCTTGAATTTTTCAAAGGAACCATTAGCGTTCGTCTTCACACGAAAAACCCATTCGCCGGTAAGTACCTTACTCCCCTTTGTTTCATTCAGTGGGATTAGATCACAGGTACCTCGCTGTTGCAGAGCTGCTAACTCCTGGTCCATGGCTTCTCGCCATTTTTTCCTGTGTGAACTTGTCAAAGCTTGGCGAACTATTTTTGGCTCCAAAATCTTACTGATGTTTGACTGTACTGCGACTGCGAGTCCCAATACCTGTAACCCAGTTTCTGTAAAACGAGGACGATTTGAGTTGACACCAGAGAAGTTGTGTTTTGACCCCTAGTCCCCCCCAATTTCTTCAGGTGTCACACAGATTGCTGGTTCGGAAAGAATGGGCATGGGCTGCTGCTGGCGATCACGTTCGTGATCAAGAATAAAATCCCTGACATCTTAAGAGTCTGCTTCGCTGTGGGGAATAAACTCGGCAGTTCCAGCTGACGTGGTTGGCACGGGGATGTCTGTGGCTGCTTCGGAGGACTCGGCAAATGATTCATCCTGTACATCTGCCTCAGCTTTGTCGGTAGCGAAAGCACGCGAGCCTTCAAACAGCCTGGAAGGATTGGCAGCTGCTGCCTGGTGAGCACGAAAAACAAGTAAGGTGAGTCTTTCATAGAAAAGGCAATCACAAGCTGGTATGATTTGACTCGTGCGAAGATCCGTAATTTTCCATGCGTAAAACGGCTTCTCGATGCCAAGATGAATCCCCCATTCAGCCCTTTCCGTTAATTTTCTGAGTGCTGCAGTTGGAGGTCGGTATTGGACCATACACCCAAAAAATCTTTTTTTTTTTGTGTTGCCGACTGTCTTTGTCCACTGCAAGTGGGTCGAAGAAAATTGTGGAAGAGATGTTGTGGACAACAAGTTGTGCAGAAGAACTGCATGATCCAAAGCGTATGTCCAGAAATGCGGTGGAAGTGTTGCCTGAGTCAGCAAGACTCTCATCTTTTCCTGTAACGTTCTGTTCATCCGCTCCGCTACCCCCATCTATTGGTGTTGATGTGGCAGAGACCTTCGGCGTTTGATGCCTAGGGTTTGAAGATACTCAGTGAAGGTTGTGTTCATATACTCTCCTGCGCCGTCACTCTTGAATTCTTGAAGCTTTTCCTTCGAATCTCTCTCAGCCACCGCGAGCCATGCGACAAAGATAGAGTGAGCCATATGGCGAGCTGGAATATTGGCAGTCCAAACGTAGCGAGTAGAAGCTTCGATAAAGGAGATCATATAGAGCTCCCTCTTAGGTCCAGCTAGGTAAGTTGAGTATGTCGCTGTAGACTTTTTGCATAAGGGTGTAGCGAGTTGATCTGGGAAAATGACTTGGAAAAGGTTCGTGAGGAAGATTAGCAGTGGTGCACGTCGTGCAGACTATCGATCGGGAAGATGACTTCATCTCTGTTCCAGTTTAAACTGTTTAAACTGTTCGTCAAGAAATGATGCTCGTATGGAATGATTAAGTATGACTTGAGACGGATGACCTAACTATTGATGCCATATATCCTCTGTTGCTTTGTGTCCTGTCGATCGCTGATAAAAACCGGCGTTAGTATAAAATGAAGAAATGATGAAAGGAGAAAGCGCTGGAGATTCGT